AACTGATTAATGATTCTCATCTCTGAAATCAATGAATATATATATTTAAAAAACAAAACAAAAGATTTAAGCCAGAACATATTCTATTTTTCTCCATTATTTCAAACTCCTCCATTGATTATTTTACTTTAATATAATTTTCATACTTTAAATCTATTATAATTTTTTCTTGCTATCCCAAATTTCATATTTGAAAATGTATGGGTAATCTGTAAGTTAGTGAGTGACCTGACAATTAAATTATTTTATTTTATTTAAAATTAAACAAAATATATTTTATTGATTTTTTACAGAGAGGAAGAGAGAGGGATAGCAAGTTAGAAACATCGATGAGAGAGAATCATTGATCAGCTGCCTCTTGCACACACCCTATTGTGGATGTGCCTGCAACCAAGGTAGCAGGCTGACGCTCTATCCACTGAGCAAAACCGGTATCGGCTAAAATTTTTAAAATTATGTTACAAATACACACAAACTGAAAGATAAATAATACATATTATTAGAGATCCTTTTGCTAAATGGGCATTTCCAAAGTTTGCAAATACGTAAGCACTGAAAAAAATCAAACTATATTCAATAATTATGTTTTTGCTCCTCTTGCTTCCAATTCAACATCCCAACTCCAACCCTTATTCTGCTTGTCAAGTATCCCCAATATGCCATGTACAAAGACAGGATAGTTGGATAATAAATGCTTTCACTGCACGTAATTTATTTTTACTTGAATTCACGATTTAAAGTTAAAGGATGCCCCTAAAATTGTTTTACGTCTTGATAATACTAAAAAACTTCCTTTCAAGGTAAATGTTTATATTGCCCACATCTATCTTCTCTTTCTCCACATGTATAACAATTGGGGTTGAACACATTTCTAGAATTCTTACGTTACGTTCCAAGTTATTAAAATTTAAATCTTAAAAATTCAATTTGCATGTTATGTACAATGTAATTCATTATTTGAAATATGAATTAAAATAATTTTGCCCAGAAATATATCAGCATTAGATTTAGATATTTTTGAAACTGATTAAAAGTAACTTGGCTATTACTAAATCAGATCCACAGAGCCTCTAAGAAGTAAAAGTGCATCTCATAAAATGTGTGTCAAAAATGTTAAGCTATGTTAGAACTGTCTATGTACTGGGAACAAAATTCAGAATGAAAAAAGTAATGAAAGTGGGGGAAAACCAGGATCTCAAAAGAAAATAAGTTGCTAAATGACCAATTCTTGGTAAAAAGAAAAAAAAAAAAAGGGGGGGGTATCAAAATGCCCCTTTGGTGAACAGTAAATCTGCAGCCTCACTTCTAGCACAAAAATGAATCACTAAACCACAGCTCTCAGGCAAGTAAATGAACCTAAAAATTCCACCTGCTACTGGTAGAAAACTTGATGAAGACATTTAAAACAAGTGGAATTTCCCACTTGTTTCCCTAAGTTTGCAATTACATAAGCACTGAAAAAAATCAAACTATATTCAATAATTATGTTATTGCTCCTCTTGCTTCCAATTCAACATCCCAACTCCAACCCTTATTCTGCTTGTCAAGTATCCCCAATATGCCATGTATTATACAAAGACAGAGAGAGTTAAGCTGAATGTCAGCTATAAGCATATTACATACCTTAATTAGGGGGATGGGGTTTCAGCTCCCCCAACTCACTAACAGGTGGTTATTGAGAGTAATTACTTGATAGGTACTCTGAAAAATTCAATAAGGGACAATATGATTGGAGTTTGCAATCCATTTAGAGGAAAGCTGACTAATATACAGTAAACTAGTAGGTGAGTTAGCAACTTCAGTGTTATTTGTAAAACGGAGATAATGTGTCTACCTCATTCTGTAGGGAAATGAATGTAAAGTGTTGGTCACACGGCCTATCACACAGCAAGCGCTCTCAGTAAATGACAGTTGTCACTACCCAGGAGCCAGGTTCTAGGAGATGAGTCCTATTGGGTGCTGTTAGAGCTGCAGGGGAACGGGGAGAAGTAAGCCATTCGGACACTTCATAGAAAATGTCCTTTGGGACACCTGAACTTCAACAATTTTGAACTGAGTGACTATTAATCTAAGTTATGAAGTTCAAAACCGAAGTTAGACTGGGTTTCTAAGTGTAACAGTTTGGCTACACAAAATGATTTCAAATAGGGAATTATCCTACCAGTATATCACTGTGATGATGTATTTACCTCCCTCTTCAACTTAGACTTCCGTTACCAAAGCGAGTCTAAGAGCTCAGAGGAAGAGAGTACCTAGTCTCCAGGAGGCCTGGAAATGGCCACTTTGTAGGGGAACACAAACAAAAAAATTTAATAAATAAAAAGAAATTTAACAAGGACTGCCAAAGGGATAAACATCCTAACTGTGGCGATTGCAATAGGCCAAACGTTTTAATAGCATCTCGTTTGTGTGTGTGATGTGACAGGACCACCCAAGGCCCTAGGAGGGCAGTCCTGTCCCGGTGTGCCTCCTCTCACAGCTGCCCTGGGAGTTCCCGCAGGCAGATACCATGCCACAGACATCCCTGTGTTCCCCACCGTTATTGAACACATAGTAGGGACCCCTTTATTTGTTGAACTGAAACAGAATTTGAAACTGGCTGTTCCAAATGAAGCGCTATGTTGGGACCTTGAGCTTCAACGCTTATCATCAACAAAAGTATTTTCCCAACTTCTAAAGCCTTTTGAGTTAAGAGAATTAGTCCAAATGCTATAGTATGTTTTTCAAACATTCAAAACAATCTCCTTCACTGGATCTCCAGATGACTAGGAGTAGGAAGATTTGGAAACTCAGTAGCTATTGTGTAGACTTGAGTCATTTTACTTTGTGTAACTACGCAGTTCAAAGTCCTGGGTTCCAGTCTTGCTTGTGCCACTCACCACTCCTGTCACCTGTAAATGTCTATGAAATGGTGATACGACTATCCACAGTACCTCTTCAGAGAAATAATGTAAATAAGAATGATTAAGTGCAAAGAAAATAGATAACATTTGAGAGTTCATTTTTTTGTTGAACTTGAATTAAAAAAAATGTTTTTATTGATTTCAGAGAGAGGAAGAAAGAGAGAGAGAGAGAGGTCGAAACATCAATGGTGAGGATCATCTATTGGCTGCCTCCTGCACACCCCCCACTGGGGATGGACCACGCAATCCGTGCATGTGCCCACACTGGGAATTGAACTGTGATTACCTGGTTCCGCGGTTGACACTAAACCACTGAACCACACCCCCAGGCGAACTTGAATTGTGAGCAGAGTTTGGGGTGAGAAAGCAAAAGCATTTTGTGAAGGTTATACTGATAGCAAGTTTTCTCCATCATTGATTTGTACATAAAGAGTAAAGAATGTCAGCTTAAGCTGACAATGTTGGGAAGGCCAAGGAGAGAACAGTCAAAGAAAGCAACAAGTAGATGACCAAAGTCTTTGAAACAATAAACGAAAGCAGCTAATAAAGCTATTCTTCCAAAACGTTAGCCCAAACGTCAACAGACACACAGATGAAATAGGCTTTTCTAAACAGAAGACTTTATGTGGATGGAGCCAGGCTGTGAATTTTAAAAATTAGTCAATGCTGAAATAGTGAATGATGGAGATCGAATCTTCATTAAAATAAGTTACCATCTGCGCCGAGTGGCTCATTGGCTGAAGCATCCTCCCAGGCGTCAAAAAGGTTTTGGGTTCAACTCCCGGTTACGGGTTTGATTCCCTGGCCAGGGAGTGTACAGAAGCAACTGATTGTTTCTCTCTCACATAGATGTTTCTCTCTCCCAAATCAATAAATCTATCCTAAGGGGAGGATTTAAAAATTTTTTTATCATCTTTTTATATCAGTATCAATAAAGCATTTTTGGTATACCCAACAGCTTGGTACCATTTTTAAAATTGGGCTGATTTAGATATATCTTAATATATATCATATTCAGATATTTATCTTAACGTCATTTAATTATGCTAAGCAAACGCCAGAAAGATTCTTTTCCTTCTTAGAGGAATGTCTGGGAATAGCAATCATGTAAATAATCATGCTTCTGGAATTAAAAAAAAAAAAAAAAAAAAAAAAAAAAGCTGTGCAGGCAAAGACAAGTTTCATTACAGAAAGCTAATCCCTGAGACCAAAATATTTGAGTTTTCAGTTTCTTAAACCAGAAGAGCGTGTATGTCAAACAATGTGCAAATCCTATTATGCATAGTAATCTTCTAGGAGGAGTCCCAACCCGATATTTGAGGTGTTTCATTAGATATTCATTGTACTTCTCGAGGCAGCTTCTACACTCTTTCTCTCTCTAAAAAAAAAAAAAGAAAAGAAAAAGAAAAAAAAAGAAAAAGAAAAAGAAAAAAAAAAAAGAAAAAGAAAAAAGAAAAGAAAAGAAAAGAAAAAAGAAGAAAAGAAAAAGAAAAAAGAAGGTGTCTAACAAGTTTGTGTCAATTACCCATCCAAAGGCAGGCAGCCTTGGAGGGGGAAGATAAAGCATATTTCATGTTTTCCACTATTTTCCTTAAGGGGAAAAGAGTGAGGGACTGGGGGGGGGGGCGGGGGAAGAGGGGATGACACCCTCAAAGTCTAAATCCAATGGCGAATACACATCCCCGTGAAATGAACAATCGGTCACATCCACAAGACAGCTGCATGGTCCCCCGCGCCACGAAGAAGTGGGACAAGTGGAATAAATGCCAGCTCTCCGCTTCTCTACGGGGCTCAGAGACCCGGATGGGGGCAGCAGCCCTCCCGGGGGGCTCACCGAACACCCACCTTAACTTTCTGCTCCAAGAACGCACATCCCCTCCGGATTGCAAGCCCCAGGACCTTCCCGGAACGCTGCCCTGCCTCTCCTCCGCAACTAGAGCCGGAGAACCGGAGAGATCGGGCGCCCAGAGAGCGTCCCAGCCTCCAACCCGTCCGCCTAAAAGTCCCCCAAACTCTCTGCACCCCAAACGCGCCCCTGGCGCGGAGGTCGGGGCAGCGCGCGCTCCCCGCGCCGGGGCCGGGGCTGAGAATACTCACTGGGCTGAGCCCACTCTGCTCTCCCTCTTCCCGGGCACTTTGGCAGGCTTGGCGTCGTCCGCATCTGGCTGTAGCTCGGTCATCGGGGCCGCGGCCGGAGGGCACCTTCAGCCCTCCGCGCGCCTCCGTCCCGCCTCCGGGTCCTCCTCCCGCGGCGGCCGCCCGCCCTCGGGGGCGCAGCAGGCCCAGCCCCGCGCCGCCTCCCCCGCGCCCGCCGCCCGCGCCCCGCGCGCATCCAGGCCGCCAACCTGGACACGTCCGAGCGGCCGCGATTGGCCCGAGCGAGCGGGGCAGAGCCGCGGGGGAGGGAAGGGGAGGGCCGGGGCGGAGGACAGCCTCCTTCCCCGCCCCCAGGGGCGGAGGGAGGGGAAGAGGAAACCTGTGGAACTAGTCTTTCTTGGGGAGGCAGCTAATGATGGACCCAGCAGGTGAGACGTTGGCCTGGGGAGGCACCCTGCTCTGTATTTAAGTTCTGGATTCAGAGGGGCTGTTTGCAGCCCGCACCGTCACGAGGGGATTGACAGATGACCAGCCAGCTGCAGGCGCAGGAAATGGATACGACTGAAAAAGGCGCTCCCACAGATGCGCTGTGTGGGCTGGCTGTTTCCTGGCCTAAATTATTCACGTAGGACAGTGCCTCGTGGAGGAGCGCTTCCCAGGGCCTTCAGCAATAGCTTAGTTCAATGGCAAAGGCAGTAAGAGGCGGCTGCCTTCCGCTGGTTGTCCGGTTGACCGTTCCTAGTTCTGTGGGGGAGAAGCGTACATCGAAAGCTCCTAACAGCTTAGGTTTTATGCACCCAGCCAATACAACGAATGCCCCTGCTTCCCGCCTCGCCTCTCGGTGAGGTTTTGACTTGCTGGGTTTGTCTGAAGCATCCGTTTGTTCACTGAACACATTTCTGAGAGCTACAACGTTCCAGGCATTCTTCTAAACATTCCCTTATATAGCAAATAGCTTATGTGTTGTTGGTCTTCAGATCTGTTACAGAGTAGCCGAGGGTAAGAATAACTTGTTGGAAGCTCAACTCTAAAACAATTGTTAAGTGGCAATAGGAGAGCATGACATGGCTGCGGGGAAACAGTATTAACTCTTTGCTCTGGGGCTGCATCCTTCGTTTTTCTTTTAACATTAATTTTAGACTTAAAAGAGAAATTATAAAGACAATGCAACCATAGTGTTTCTAAAAATGTATATATGTGTGTGTGCATAAAAGAAAAACCAGCCCTTCAAGTGACCTCAAATGTTTCGGAGATGCATGTCCTTCAAAACTTATCAATAAGTTTTCTTATTTCCTCTCCATTGACTAGCTTATGTCATTAGAAAACAGAAGTACATTTTTATAGCCTCCTTGATCCAGAATTGATTCTCACAACACATGACAAATAAGTGAATGAAAAATGTTTATGTACAAATTCTACAAATACTGTCTATGTTTTCCTGTTTGTTTGTTTGTTTGTTTGGTTTGGGTTTTTGCTTCCCGACCACTGCAGGAGAGCCTGCAGGAGCCCATCTGGGCCGGCCAGGGAAGGCTCTGGAAAGCTTGGAGTCCATGCTCTTCAGTACCCAGTGCAGGCTCTTCTGGGAACATTATGGCTTCAGCCTCCACATCCTTTCTCTAGCTCCACCCCCTCCTCAGGGTGGGGATGGGCTTGGAGTTCAGAAGAGGTTGTCACCCTCCCAAACTCTGGGTAGCCACTCTCTCCTTCACTCTCAGGCGCCCTCCACGCTGTCCCCACGACAGAACTCAAGCCAGAACTGACTCTTTCTGCCCTCCGGTAGTTTTTTTCATAGCAGTAAAATATATGTAATAGTTATCATTTTAACCATTGGTATAATTCAGTAGCATTAAATACATTCACATTGTGTGTAATCATCAGACTATCTATGCCCAAACTTAAAAAAAAAACACACAAAAAAACCCCAACATAAACTCTGTACCATTCAACAATAACCTCTATTCTACTTTCTGTCTCTATGAATATGTCTGTTCTGGGTACCTCATCTAAGTGGAACCAGACAATAGTATTTCTTCTGGGTCTGGCTTATTTCACTAAATTTCATGTTTTCAAGGCTCATCCAAGTTGTAGCATGTATTATTTCTTTTTATGCTAAATAACATTCCAATTTATGTACATTTGTTTATCCATTCATCTATTGATGAGTTGTTTCTGCTTTTTGGCTACTACCAATGAATGGAATTCCTGGTCATAACGGTAGTCCTATGTTTAACCTTTGACAAACCATGGCCAGGCCTCTTTTACTGCATGAGTTAGGGCAAGTGTTCCTCAGCATGGCTTACAGCTCAATTAATAAGTGCTTCAGCCCTGACCAGTTTGACTCAGTGGATAGAGTGTAGGTCTGGGGACTGAAAGGTCCCAGGTTCGATTACGGTCAAGGGCATGTACCTTGGTTGTGGGCATATCCCCAGTGGGAGGTGTGCAGGAGACAGCTGATCAATGTTTCTCTCTCATTGATGTTTCTAACTCTCTATCCCTCTCCCTTTCTCTCTGTAAAAAATCAATAAAATATATTAAAAAAAAATAAATGCTTCAATTCCCCTGAAACCTGTTCTTTAGTGTATGGCAGTGTTTCCCAAACTTTTGATATATGTGCACCCCTTCTATAATTTTCGTAACGCTGAGTACCCCTCGTACTCATGAGAACGTAGAATTAGGCACAGCTAAGCACGGTGCAGTGCATATCCCTACCAAACTCCGGTGCAACGCGTACCCCCACCAAACTCTTCCCGTACCCCTGGGGGTACGCGTACCACACTTTGGGAAACACTGGTGTATGGGATGAGGACTCCAATAGTACGATCTTAAGTGAGAAAGGAGGGGAAGGCTGGGGAGTGGGAAGGAGCTTGTGGAGAAAGAGCAGAGAGTCCTTTCCTGGAGTGGGGAAGAGTCAGAAAGGGGCAAGTGAAGGCCATTATTTTACACAGTGACATTTGCCGAAAGTGAAAAGACATTGTGAACCAGCTTCCCAATTTGTTTATTCTTGGGGTTATTATACAATAAAATGGAGTGCCGTATTTAAAAGGCAGCAGCAGGCAAACGGTAAGAGAAACTTCGTTGTTGTGTGAGAAAATAGAGACTGAACATTATGTCTAAAATACATTTCGGAGGCTCTTTGATTTTGCCCCAATAAAAAAACCTTTGCCTTTCTTCCTCCAAGCCTACAGGAACATAATTTCTTATTTCTAATATCAAAAGTAGTCCCGGCTGGTATTTTCTTGCAGTTATTGAAGCAGACCAGTAGAAAATGCATGCCTCAAGCATGGCTTTTCAGGAGGCAGGGGCTTTCTTTTAATAGCTTGAAATATTGATTAGATATTGGTCTCTTTTTAAGATTGATCAGATATGCTATACATCTGTCCATAGTCCCAGTGGCAGAGTTCAAATATGAGTTTGGAGATTTGAGTGGAGCTAATGTTGTAATATATAGTTAAGTAGTTACCTAATTTATGACACGTGACAGATTATGTACTTATCTATAATAATAAAAGCATACTATGCTAATTAGACCCGATGTCCTTCCAGACATCCTTCTGGACAAAGCTGGGACTGCGAGGGAAGCCTGGGTCGCAGGTGCCTGCCAGTGGCCAGAGGGAAGCTGGTGCTGGCAGCCACGGGAAGGAAGGCCTACTCTTTTTTTTTTTTTTTTTTTAATATATATATATATATATATATATTTAAAAATATATTTTATTGATTTTTACAGAGAGGAAGGGAGAGAGATAGTTAGAAACATCGATGAGAAAGAAACATCAATCAGCTGCCTCCTACACACCTATTGGGGATGTGCCTGAAATCAAGATACATGCCCTTGACTGGAATTAAACCTGGTACCTTTCAGACTTCAGGCCGATGCTCTATCCATTGAGCCAAACCGGTTAGGGTGGAAGGCCTACTCTTGCACAAATTTCGTGCATTGGGCCTCTAGTTAGCCAATATAAGTGCACGTAAAGTGTTGTCACATGCCTAAACGGGTAATGCATATTGTCTAAGGACATGTTTTAGAAGATGATGCTCTTATCAAGATGGAACCTGGGAAGCTCAGTAATAGTTTAACTATGCATAATATTTCATACATCAATGTCACAAGTCAAAGAATTCCAGGAACACTCATCACATTATCCTTGTTTACAAATTAAGGTCAACATCCAAAGGAGGAAAAAAATGAACAGTTCAGAAGATAGCTATATATGGTAACACTGAAGAACTTAATTATAAAACTTTAAAAAACATTGTAAGAATGAAAGTTGAGAGACATTACATGAAGGGGACCTTTATTGAATGATTTCTGTCAAATGTGAAAGTTTCTCAATGAATAAACATTGGGATGGGATTCTATAAAAGACTGTGGAAACTTTGAAAACAATACTTAAAAAAAAAGTAAATAGGCCCTAGCCAGTCTTGCTCAGTGGATAGAGCATCAGCCTGAAGACTGAAGGACCCTGGGTTCAATTCTGGTCAAGGGCACATGCCTGGGTTACTGGCTCAATTCACAGTAGGGGGCGTGCAGGAGGCAGCCGATTAATGATTCTCTCTCATCATTGATGTTTCTATCTTTCTCCCTGTCCCTTCCTCTCTGAAATCAATAAAATATATATATATATTTAAAAAAGCAAATAGAATAGTTCTGCACCACTTTTTTTCTCAAGCCAAGTTATATGCAGATGGGGAAATCTGGAACATGTACTCTGTCTCCCTCCAGGAAAGAGGCAAGAACTAAGCTTTAGCACCTACGTTGGGAAGAATAGGCAAGATGGCAAGGGCTTAGTGGACTAGGGGCAGATGGGAGTTGGGAAACACTAGAATAAGTCTGATTCTGTGAGAAAGCAGAAGCAATACAAACTCTTCTAGTTCAATATGTATTTTTTTTTAATTAAATAAATGATGGCATATAAACAGTAAGTTAAAATCTACTCCAAAGTTTAAAAATATATGTCTATTTTCTGTATGGATGTCATAGATCATAATATGTGAAGTGGGGAGGCCTCTGTGACCATTCAGTAGTGTGATTTCCCCCCCACCAGACTCTGAGGGAATCCAGGGCTCTTTGAGCTAGTGAGGGCAA